GCTGGAAAAATTGGTACACTGTGAGTACGAACTCACGGAATAACGGTGAAGATCACGCAAAGACTGAAGGAGATTAGACAAGCTGCAAGCACGGAAGCCCCTCCTCAGTTAACGGAGGCCATGGATGTGTCATGGAGAGGTCCTTGGAAGGTAACCTGGGTTACCTCTGAGAAAGCCCTTGCGGCGGATTTCGGCATATCGCCATTAGGCGGTCCCATACAGTTAGGATCGGACTGGGATGCGATCAGACGGGGTTCTTGGCCAGTCTGCAGCAGTGGTTGGATCATGCCTCGCCGGAATTGGAAGAAGTGTGGCACCAAAACCGGCCGTCTGACCGGCTCATCTAAGGTGTGCATTGATTGGCAAGAACAACTGAACAGGTGAGCATTGATGATCTGGTGAACCGGTCAGATGTCACCGGCCACGCTTGAGTCACAGGTGAAGTTGGGCGAGTCGACAATGGAGGACCTGTAGACCGACTAACCGAACAGCTCGCCTCCTTGAAAACAGAAGCGTGGAGACGCATTCGAACGAAAAGGTGCTGTGAATGTGGAGGAATCAATGGCGCCGTAGCTGGCTTTTTGTTAATGCTAACGGTTTGGCTTACTCGTCTCTTCCCGGCTGGATTGCAATCAGCACATCGAAACAGGGTACGATACAGGCGGAAACTGAGATGGGCTGGAGAAGGAATTCGTGTCTACAGAGACAGGAATGTCACTGAGAGAGAGAAGGATCGAAGCTGAATGTGAACTGTGAGCGCTAGCGGTGAGGGCACTGGGTGAAAACAGACCGAAAGGTGACGGCTGGTCATTACACCAAATTGCGCATAGGTGGAATTAGGAATTCCTGATCAGCTCAGATGGAAGTCAAACAAATTTTTGAGCAGATTTTATCAAGAGCGTGGCATAAACCGAGGTAAGATGATGACTAAGTACGGCTTGGCCGACCTTGAAGGTTACCCCAGCCCTTCCGTGAGCGACATGCGTGTCTGAAAGCTTCCTTCTTATATTGCTCCATCAGTCTAGACTGTGGTCAAACAGTACGCCGAAATGTTCACGGGTGATAACGGTTATGCTCGTGGGTCGATCACGAGATCCCCTCCTCTTCTAAACGCGTTCGACCGTACGACTCCTGTCAACTACCGCTCCATCTATCGGATGCGGCCCATGAACAGGTGCAACAAAGGCTTAAATCATTCCTTCGGTTGCTCCGGCAATCAAGATGTTTCACGGTTTCCCACATGCGTTTTTGACAGTGGCAACTTGCCCTTGAGTCACAGGAGAGAGCGAAGATGGTGTACCAAGTCGTGGATATCTAGTATCGCTTGCCTGCACCTGATGCTTCGTTCAACCAAAGGACTGAAGATGCCACCCCAAAATCGTTCTACACGGTGGCTCGGAATCAGAACATGCAGTTTACCCAAGAGTCGTATTCGAGCGCATTCGGCAGGCTGGTCTGCGGATTACTGAAACCAAGATGCAGGTGATTCGAACTTCGGTGACAATGCCTGGTCATAAAGTGGAACGAGGAAGAAAAACTGGCGAAGCTCCAGGACCCTTTAGTTCCCAAATCAATGTGGCAGTTTCTCGGACTAGCAGTATACTACAACAGGTTTGCCAAGGATTTCATCATGATTGCTGCTCCATTATATGACTTGCTTCGGCAAAATAGAAAGGTTGAATGGTAAGGCGAAGCATACGAGGCCTTAAAACGTGTCAAATCATGCACTGGTCGAGGAGATATTTGCTGTCGCAGCATACTCTATTGACCGGAGCATCTGTGCTGTCTTGAAACGGAAGAACGGATCACCTGAAATGCCCAGTGATCACCTCAACAATCAAGAGAGACTGTTTAGCTACCTTCTGGGCCCTAGATAAGCGGAGGTTACACTTCCTGTGACAGAGGATTCACTTTAAGACCGACCACATACCCCTTGAGAGGATAGAGACCACCAGAGAAAGTTCGTTCACTAGGCACCCTGACTACAAGAGTTTAAAACTTCACGTCCTGGCAAGTGTCATGAAACGAGAACCAAGTGACCCGTTGACTTACAAAAAACCAGAGGTTGGAGATGAAGCCCCAAAGATCACCATCGGTGCACTCAGACTCGCCGTCGAACTGGATCCTAGGAGGTCGGTGCGACTACAGAGGTGGGACCCTATACTATAGAGTGTTGCAGCCGCCTTGTTTGGTGGAATGGGCATTGAGGTAGTGGGAGAAAACAGAGAACTTGATGAATTGCGTAAACGCTTCGACAAACCGTACGGTGGCCAGCCGTCCCTAATAACGGAACATCACATCATTTGAACGGATGTGTCACGTGCAGGACACGGACCAAAAGAAAGCATGCTCTAATTGGTCAGAATGCCAGCCAATACGGATCGAGCATCTTTGACTCGGCGCTTCTCACTCCTCATGGTGATCCTAGCACGACCTTGTGGAGCACTCTGTGATTACTCTATAAATACGAATGTAATGATCCTCCTTTTGTCTCCATAAAGGGCTGTTTGGGGTTCCGTGCCTTTTTGATATACCATAGTGGGCGGAGCGGGAAGCCAATGGGCCGATACAGAGTTACACTACCGTTCAGCAAGTCACATCACTAACTGAACCTGAACGGGACTGGTATAGTCTCCTAGAAAGCCAACAATTCGGGTGTCATACTGTCCGTGATATCTTGTGACTCTAGTTAGAAGCTGAATGTCGAATGCCACGAGACGGCACTGATGCGTCAGTGTCTCTGATGATAATGATGATGATGGCACACACGTGATTCACCACAACTTACGACTTAATTCGGCAGGCGGCACGCTGATCATGAGCGAGATATGGTGTTTCGGGGTATAAGCGATGCCAACTGGGGCAGTGCACCCCATGAAATAAAACTGTGCACCGGAAGTTGGAGAGTAATGGTCCGTTGAGCTGGACAGCTAGTGGCAATCGCTGTGATAATGACGCAACGGGTGACTGCAATCAGCGGAGTGGCCATGCATCAGACCTTGGCCAACCGTGGCTACCAAAAATGATACTAGTGAAAGGAAGAAAGCCTTCGCTGAGGAGTTACTTATTAGAAAATACCATCTGACCGGTTACAGACTATTGGACAGGGAAGCAAAACACTGATTGGCATCTTATTCACAAAAACTGGACTCCATCTTCTCCTGAACGCGTCACTTGAAATCTCCTGGATATTCATTCACTTCAACCCAAGTGAATGCTACAAAGCGACTCCACAAATTCCACAACAGATCTCCCCTATTCAAGAGAAACGAAGCGAATTTCTAAGAATAACACATACTACTCGCATGCTTCCCCATCTGTAGTATCACTGTTACACTAATAGATCGGGGGCCGTGAATCGAGGGTGAAGAATTCAGGACTTGCTTGCAGCGACTGTGTATCAAGCGGCTAAGAACGACACCCTACCACTCGTTGACAGTTGGCCCGACGGAACAAAACATCCGAACGAACGATCAGGGAATGTCTGACAGCCAAGAAAAGTGACTAGGGCATGAACGCGCCGAGTGTACTGTAAGCATACCGTTCGCCCATGCAGGCAACCGTAAGCAAGTCCCTTATCATGCCGATCTGCGGTCGGCATCCACTCCTAGTTTATCAGAAAATCTGGTTGTGACGGGCGATACCAGAGAGCTCGGTTAACAAGGCAGGAGAGGGCTGGAAAACTTGCCAGCCGTTCGGGGACGGACCAAACAAAAACCACAGATAGGAAGGTGATTATTCCCCATAAGGTCAAATGGAAAGGTCACCAAAATCCGGGAAGGAATGGGATTGGATCGCGGAAGTTGAACAGGACCCGTTTACCATTACTGACTTTCAATAGAGTGTCCATACGACACTGGAAGGTTGAGGATTGAGACAAGTAAATGGTAACCATAAGGGAAACTACTTACAAGGTTGCTGAAAACTCTTCAACAACCCACGACCGGTTTCGCCCTTCTTGGGGCTCATCAGGTAGGCGCAGTCCCCGAGTTTCTGTCAACCTTATGATCTGCTCGAACCAAATTGGACTGTTTTCAGGAAATACACTTATTTGCAAATCACTTTGGTTTTCACGAGAGACTCAACTGAAACTCTCGTTTACGATGTTCTATAACTGAATATGCTGTACACAGGCCGCCTCATGTTTCAGTTGGCACGATATTCGAGATATCGCAGTATATTTTCATAAAGGAAACTACTCACAAATCGATTTGCACATGAGTATATTTCTCGTAAATGGTAACCAGCCTCGAAGGTGGCACGATGGGCCTGAGAAAGTATGGAATGTAGCAACTGCCGAGGCTGACCCAGTTGCGCCGCCCAACGCCGCACTGATGATGATGTCTTTTCAAATACCGACCAGAACGTCTGCAAGTCAAGTGCCAAGCTCAGGGATCAGATCAACAGCCATCTGACCAACCAATACTAGTCAGTGGATATTGAAACTTGTCATCGAATGGCATCAACTAAATCGGCCAATCAGATAACTTTTATCGTTTGAAAAACCACACCACATGTTTTAAACCTTTCCTCCAGTGGATCGATGGTCTGCGTGATCAAATGACATAACTCTGTTGGTTGAATTTATCCAAGACCGTTTTTTTGTTATATGGAAATCTGATGACTGTTCAGCTGTATCACCTTTCAGGTGCTTCGGATTTACGCCACTGGAAGGAATTATGAGGGTTTAGTTGCTGTCAGGTCGCCCATGCTAGACAGGAGCAGACGAGATGCCGGGGTTGTGTACGAACGACGGCCTATCTTCAACCACTATGCTGTCTCGGGCTGATCAATACTGATCACATGATGCAACATTTCGGTTGAATTTTAGTAAGATTCATCACAAACGAGCTTTCATTGGTCGATTATGCGAACGATGGCGTCCGGCCTCAGTAGCCAGTTTCAAAAGTTCACGCGTGACTTCCATTTTTCCATTTCACTGACTGGTGTACACCATACACATCGTATTCCGTTTGTACCATATTTTTCCAGGTATGAAGGCATTTTTGGCCTTCTGTTCCCGCGAGTTTCGGGAAACGAGCTTTGAACAGTCAAAAATTGATGCGCATGAACAAACGGACTTATTTTTTACTGCATTTTTACCATTCTTCGTGGCACTACAAAGGACCCACTGGAGACAAGTGATGGTAGTTGAACAGTTTGAAAAACTCTCGACAGATACTCCCCTTTCCGCCAACATTTGGTTTTGACGGGAGACTTGAATGAATCCAACCGGATCTCTCGTTTGTGAAACTTTACTTCAGTTAACTGTACTGCCTCATGCAACCTAACGGGCTCCAATAAAGGTTATGGGCCGATGAACAGTGTTCAGCAACCTTATGAGTAGCGTGGCACGCCTTGGCACATTTTGCTCCTCCTATTACAGTCCTGTGTAAAATTCTCTGATGAGCTTTCAGTGCTACATATGTTCCACTGGTCAAAGGCTCAGTGCGATCAGAGTGCGAAATTTCCTTTCTGCCAGACAGTAGTCCTTTTCTAGTTAAATATTGTTCGAGAAGCGTCTGTTTAAGTTCTGATTTAAACTTTACTGTTCGACAGTAGATTTTATTCATGCCCGATCAAAACCAGTTTATTGTGTCTTCTAACGGTTATGCAGCTGCTTGCTCAAGGTTTATCACTAAGTGATATACCTTCCAGAATGTATCAAGGATGCCTAAAAGCCAGAAAAACGACCAAATTGACTATAGCGAGTTTTTACCGGTTGTAGCTTCGGGAAGAAAAAGGACGGTTCTGTCTGTTAGGCGAGAGCACCAGCAGCTATTTGGAAGGTGTCATTTCATGGGATCACCTGTGTCAAGACTGCAAAGTGTCGGCCAGCACGAAATGCGTAAATGCGCAGTGGATCTTGCAGACCGATTACTGGGAATCCCTAGTGGCGTAACGTGAGACTGCAAAGTGTCGGCCAGCACGAAATGCATAAATGCACAGTGGATCCCGCAGACCGATTACTGGGAATCGCTAGTGGCGTAACGTGAATGCTACTGATGAGGCGTGCAAGTAGTATGTGGTTATCTTGTAAATCCGCTTCACGTTTATTGAAAAGTTAGATTTACTACGGAATTTATAGAATTGCTTTGTAGCATTCGTTTACATTTGAGTGATAGTCGATGAATATTTAGGAAAGTTTAGGAAGGCGCGTTCGAGAAGAAGACGGATACTCAGTTTTTATAAACAAGATGCATATGAAGGTTTTGCTTCCCTGTCCAATAGTCTGACTGTTCCGCCGTAGGTCAGTCGGAGTCCGTAGGCAGGGTGAGCGGTTAGCGATGAAACAACAGCAGTAGTTGATGACGCCCAAAAATCGCCGTGAAATTTCGACCTATTGGGAGGCAGCGCAATAACCGATTACAGCAGCGTTCTGGTGTGAGATGTCGATACCATGCGCGACTAAGAAAGCCGAGGTTAGTCACATCCAAAACTCATTTTGACTCATTAATAGTCAGTCGATCAATGACCAATCGCACACACTGGTCAGCATGTCTTCGACGTATAATGTTCAAACGGCGAGGAATAAAATTCCGACCCTCTGTTCAGTGTTTCAAACTTAACAACTGCGTTCGTCTGGTCCTGTCTAGGCTTGAGCAACCTGACAGTATCTCATCACAATTACTTTCTTCGGGTGGCTAGGATTCGAAAGGTCGAGACAGCTGAACGTTATTTAGTTGACATTGTAATTTCAACGCCTCGGTTCAACGACATTTTTTCGCCTTTTTATGGTTCTTTCACATATTCATGTAGTGGCAGAAAAAGAGGCCTAAGACACACTCATTTGCAAACAATTTTGGTTTTACGGGACATTCACCTTTGATCCAGCCGAATCTCTCGTCTATGATGTTTTTAAGCAACTGAATGTGGTACACTAGGCCACATTATATTTCAGTTGTCACGGCCTTCGATGCATGTATAGATGTAACAGTTTACTCATAAGGTTGCTGAGTATATTTTGCCAAATTCATGCAATTTAGATTCAAGTAGAATATACAGTTGACGGAAACTCTTGGACTGTGCCTACCCGATGGGCTGCAAGAAGGGCGAAACCGGTCGTGGGGTGTCGAAGAATTTTCAGCAACCTTATGAGTAGTGTATTACACCTAAAAATCGATCAGCGTACTGGATAAAACTAAGAATTTCCATTTATGTTGTCTAGTAGAGATATGTGTAGCTGAACTGCTTGATTCAATGCACAGTTGTCTTTATTAGCTCTATTTTTACAGCAAAAAAAATACACTCGCCTTGATAGTTTGCTTTTCCGTGTATGAAACAGTAGCTGACGCATTATAACAGTGCCACATCTAATCTATGTTCCATGACAACTTTGATTAAACAATCTGAAAGGAACCACTCTGTCAATACCTGCTCCAAAGGACAAAGCCTAATTTTATCCTGGAACGACCTCATACAAAGATCAGTTGCTTTTTCTGCGCACAAATCAGGTCCAAAGTGAAGATGTAAGGGTCATACATTGACGGCTAACAGCCGACATATAATCTTGCCGAGAGACCTTGTCGGGTTAACTGACCTAACCGGGTGACAAGTGGACAAAGACTGTAAGTTGCCTTTCTGAGGATCCAGAATGACCTGTGTCGTTGATGATGGTTGTGACCTTGCTACAGCAAGGTCAGCTAAGTTGATCTGCTCCCATGCTAGTCTAAATGTATTCTATGTCGCTATAGTTATATGTATACAAAGCAACGCGACTAACGTGATCGACCCTGTTTAGTGCCATCCGGTCGCCTGTTAGCACAGGAAACTGCAACTACTTTATTCAAACAAAACCAAGGTTTAATCTCCCAATTCATGGGATTTTAGGGTGTGACAATAAGGCTCCAGCTAGCGTTTGCAAGATTGACCTTGGTTCCCGTAGAGTGATGGGAACTTTGTGACCGATTCCCAAGTTCTCCGGTGCTGTTTAACGGTTTTCTTGTTGCTCGGAACGTTCAGCGGACGTTGCACGCAAGTCAGTCGAATCTTGCATATTTTCGCAACAAATGGGACCTAAATCCAGGCCGTCACATCTAAGACTAAGCAAAGCTTGCGGTTACCTACTTGATTGGTTTGATGCCTTGGATTGGATGGAGAGAAAAGCCCTCAGAGTTTAGGGCTTCTCAGGATGGATGGAGAACTAGTTGAAGCATGGGTTTCAAAACTTCAGTCCAGTAAACATACTTCACCTGTTTCGTTCATCTGCACCTTGAATGACACTGGGGCACATGAATCCTCTTTAAATCAGGCGCCACATACGCGGATATAACAAACTCATCCATGCTTAAAACGCTTCCTGTGTCATCGCCAGTCCAAACTTAGTCAGGCACTCTTTACAGAATGTATTGGCTGAGAAAGTAACCTCGTTTTCCAGTGAAACAGTCATAGGCTATCCCGTCGTGTCTATCCTATCTCGTTGCTGTGAGTTTGAAAATTTGACCATTCATGCTCCAGGTAATAAGATGCGTCTCCAGGTGTCGCTTAAATTTCACCTTTGACGCAACAACCACTACTTTTCGTAATGCACTACTCATGAGGATGCTGAAAATTCGTCACAACCCACGACAGCTGAGCTGGACCACAGCACCATTTGCCTATCACGTACCCAAATCGGAAAACAATATAACATACCTCAGGTTACGGTCGAAATCCACCTTGTTTGGTGAAATGCGCTTACTTGCAAACCCATTTGGTTCTTACGAGAGACCCAACTGAACCCCGGTTGAATCTGTCGTTCTTTAACTGAATGTGATGCACAAAGCCGCCTCATATTTCAGTCGCTACGATATTCGAGAGATTACGGTACATTTACATGCGTAATGCACTACTACTTTTCTATTAGACCACTTGGCAAGTTCACAAACCTTGCGATCATTTGGACGGAAGTGTTCAAACGTAGCAGTTTAAACAAGTGATCTTGTGCTGTGCCATCATCAAGCTGCGTTGAAAGTGCTTCTGCATCCTTTCTTCCAAGATACCAATTGGTATTCCTTATTTTCATGAGATTCAATCAGAATGGACTCGATTTCTTTGGAACCTCAGGGGAGCACCGCGTCTCTAAGACATCTTCCAGCGTCTTTGACTCAGTTTTCGGGGTAGAATTGCAGAGCACTGCTGGAAAAAGCGAATATACTTCTCATCTGCTGTCACAAGTACCCCCAGGTCTTTGTCCAATATCATTTCTCTCACTAGGTAACCAGCAATGTGAAGACGTCAGCTGGCGGGCCAAACAGAAACGCACAGGATTTCGTATATTCGAGTGGAGGGTTCCATCAAGAAGGCCAGTTGTGAAGTGCTTCAAAGGTAAATAAGCCTACCATCCACAAGTGTACACGACAAGCGTGTTGGCGGATACCTAGTCAATATTATTTGTAGCGTACTACTCATAAGGTTGCTGAAAATCCGTCGACAGCCCACGACCGGTCTTTCCCTTCCTGGGGCTCATCAGGTGGGCGCAGTCCCCGAGTTCCCGTCAACACTATGTTTTACTTGAACCGGATTTTCATCTCCATTTCAAGTTCTCATGGTTAATGACCGATACAGAAGACAGACCATCATGTGACAATGAAACGTTTTGCGCTCAGAAGTGCTCCGCACACATCAAAAACCCTCATCGGATTGACAACGACGCAAAAGCCTTAGTGGAGGCAAACTTTCCTAGAGTAAGGAAAGCCCAGAGGGTTGTGGGCCTTCCTGTGCTGGTCCGCGAGATACTCACATATCAGAACCCATACGCACGAGATCACGAGTTCATTGTTCCCGAAAGCCCAAACAATGATTGAAAAAGTCGGTTTAATTCACTTTGTCGGCTCCGTGGTACTAAAGAGAAAGAGAGACTCTGTGTTGACTACCGAATGTTGGAGCATATCACTCGACCCGTCGCATTTTCACTGCCGCGGGTGAACTCGCACTCACGGGGCCTACACACTTTGGGACCATTCGGTCAATGGCAGATAAACGTGGGGAAATCGATAAACCGATAGCAGTTTTAACGATGTCTACGGAGTTATAAAAACTTCAGACAATGTTATTTGAGTCAGTAAACCCTCCGGAAATGCTTCAGAAGACCATTAAGAACTTATGAAAAGATCTTATTCTCCAAAAGCGTCTGCTATACCCAGATGACGTCATCCCCATGAGCTCCCCGAAAGCCCGGGAGTGGTTTGTTGTTTCAAGAAAATACAGTTTCATCAAAAGTCGTCTAAAG